AATTGCATGCAATATCTAATTGGAATATGCATCGTATATAAATCCTAAAAAAATCATTTTTAATTATTTCAATTTCCTATATATTAAAACATTTATTAATATTTCATTTAAATTAAATAACGTATTAATTGTGTCATTTCTTATTACTGTATATCGTAATGGTACTATTAACAAAATTGAATGTAGTACCAAGTTGAAATATATACAGTGTTTGCATGAAAACTTTAAAAATATTCATAAGAAAATTTGTTGGTCATGGTATTGATTTTTAAATAGTTACCTTTTTTTTAAAGGTTGGTGTACAACTGGGTGAAGATAGGCGACGATTATCTCGAGTTTTACTTACGGAACTAAATGTTGCTCAGTTACAAGTAATAGCCAATGATTTACACGCGAGAATCGCTGCTTTGAACGAGGCTTTAGTTGAAGGACTCTTGAGAAGGGACGATCTACATATGGAACAAGATTCGATGCTAGTCGATGTTGAAGATTTAACCCGATACTTGTAAGTATAATTTAAACAAAAAAATTCATTAACATTCATGGGAACGCATTTACATCGAGTGTCATTTCAAATCTCATACACCGTTAAAATTGTATTCAAATTTTTCTTTCGATAATTATTAATATAATGTATTTTGTATGTGAGATTAAAAGAATTTAAAAATAAATACGTTGATATATATATATTAATTATATTATATATATTTCATGAATTTAATTTGAATGCATTAATTATAAATAATAACGAATAAATTAAACGTGTGCGAAAATAATTTATATAAAAAAAATTATACGTCATTAAACAATCATTAAATATTAATATAATGTTTGATATACCTTAAATAATTATTAATTAAACGAAATAAATGTATATATTGTTGTTTAAAATCACGTAGTATATTTTCGGAGTACCGCCTTCCTTGAAATCAAACAATAAACTGACTCATTTCTCTTTTGTCAATGTACTTTTTTATTAAATCTTGTTTATATGACTTTCCTTAAAAAGAAATTCTATTTATTAAGTAAATTATATTCTCTTTTTACACAAAATAACTATTACGGAGGACATTGACCCAGTTCAACGATGGATTTTGAAGAGGACGATATTCCGTGTTTTTAAACAACAATGGACACTTGCATCGATTAATTAACAATTATTTGAATATTCTAATACGCTCTATTTATATTTAAAATTATTTAAACAATAATATACATTTATTTCAACGTTCCTTCATAATGATAAATTTTAACGGTGTATATAAATTTTAATCGACACTCGTTATATTTTTGGTTACTTTATATTTCCATAACTTAACAATATTTATTGTGCAAATATATATATATATAAATCATGAAAAATTATATTTAAAACGATAAATGTTCTTTTTTTTTTGTTGTTTTTTTTTTTTTTTTTTTTTTTTTTTTTCTTTAAACAGAGGTGCCAAGCAAGAATCCATGAAAAAGAAACAACAACAAACGGTTACGGTTAATCGCAATAATCAACAACAACAGACCACGATCAATCAATTAAAGAACACCATCAAACCAAAACTTACGCACCGTAGTTTAGTTGCTCTCGTTAGGAAATAATCTTTTGCCACGAGACTGCGCAGTCTCGTCGGAAATTAATTAAAAAAAAAAAAAAACAAAAATAAAACGAGCGGAATTCATTCATCAGGGACGCAGAAGAAGAAAAAGAAGAAGTAGAAGTAGAAGATGAAAAAGAAGGGAGAAGCTTTGCAGCGTCTTATTAAATAAACAAACAAACAAAAAACATTAAACGTCTGTTCGGATAATAATAATAATAATAATAATAATAACAATAATAATAATATAATTATTATTAAAAAAAAAAAAAAGAACATTACAATAAAAGAATCAGAAGAACAACGGAGAATGAGACAACGTGACTGGATTAAAAATAAAAAAAGAAAAAAAAGCAAAACGCTGCAATCCTTGAACAAAAATCCAAGGTGTGCCTGCTTAGTACTTTTAGCAGACGTTGTTTCGAAAAAAATCGGGGCTGGGGGATGAGATTAGGGATGATTAATACGAAAGGGGATTGTTTTAAAACAGGACAAAGCAGAAAGAAAAAAAGAAAAAAGAAAAAGAAAAAAAAACAAGAAAAAAGAAAAGAAAAGAAGGAAAATTTTTTTCCAAAATTTCCAACAAAAGGTTTTTACAGCTTCTATCGTTATTTCAAGTAAATCAACAAATGTAGATTTTATCCTAACGCGTAACTATACGTAATAGAATTATTATTACATAAATAGAAGAAGGGTTGGAAAAAAACAACAAAAAAGAAAAAAAAAAAACAAGTAGAAAGGAAAAAAAAAATGATTCCAACTACGTTTCAATACGAGAATTGTTGTTGCAATCTCTCTCTCTCTCTCTCTCTCTATCTCTCTCTATTTCTATCTCTATCTCTTTCTATCTCTATTTCTATCTCTATTTCTATATACGGATCCAAAAAATGATCTGATTGTAATCCACCAACACTTATGCATGCAATATGTTTACCGAGTGTGTATTAACATTGCCTTTATATAATAGTGCGCCCCCTCTCCCCCTCCCTCCCCCCTTTCCCCGCCCAGTCAAAAAACGAAGAAAAAAAAAAAAAAAGATTAAAATAAATGCAAATCTATCTCTCTTCAATGTAATTTGTATATAAAGCCGAGATTTTTGTTCTTATAGCGGATGGATGTGCACATAACACATATATTTGAAATAATTATCTATCATTGTATTATTTCCACTTCGTTATTATGTATGTGTATCGCGTTATTTATATAAATAAGTTATATATATATGTATCATTAATTTTTCGTTATTTTTTACATGTCTTCCAAACGATTATAATATATATCTCTTGTATATTTATTTTAATTTAATTTGTCTTGTTATATATATATATATATATTTTGTTCTTTTTTTTATTGTTGTTTTGTTTCCTTTTGTTTAAATTACTGCGATTTATTATTATTATATATATATATAATGGGGAATATTACACACAGCAGTATGTTGCATATCAATTACGAAAAAAAGTAGAACAAAAATGTGTTTGTATTATTAAACTAACAAGAAAAAAGATATTTAAGTTTTTATACATTCCCATTCGTATTATTAAGATTTTTTTTGAGATAAACCCCACATGTGTTGTTGTTGCGTGATACGATAATTAATTGGGAAAAAATAATTTGTAATGTGCATTTGTATGGGGAAAAAATATTTAAATAATCGTGGGGTGGATGGGAGGGAGTGGGGGGAGGTAAATTTCTTCTCTTATCGTTAAAGAGAACAACATCGTCGATCAATTTTGCATATCATTAATTCCTGCATCCGAAATTATATTCTAAAAGTATATATATATATATATCTTCCTACCTTTCGCGCATATACAACAATATTTATTAGATGACAATTTGAAATGAATGCATCATCCCACTTGTTGATTGAAAATAATTGAAGATATGAGACGTATTAAAGTCAAGGGGCAAACATTTTTTCTTTTTATTCGTAATAAAATAAAACAAAAAATAAAAAAAGAAGAAGAAGGTGTAAGGGAAAAGTGCATAAACGTTATTACACTCTTGGTGCATCATTAATAATTATTGGAAAGAGACAATCGAACGTAACGAAACATTCGTTTTTATTGAATTATTTAATTTATATTTATATTTATATATCTCGTTGAGGAGAATGAATGAACGAATGAAAAACAATGAATTAATTGATGCACGTGCCAACGTTTCGCAAATATATATACCACCCCTCCCCAACCCATTGGTATATGTGAATTATATATTAATTAATTAATTGAAAAAAAGAGAAACGTTTCATTAACGATGCATTGTCGTTGAATGAACGAACGATAAAAATAAGCAGCCAATTAACTTTAAATGATAGTATAATTAACAGTTCGAGCATTGTTTCATATTAATTATTCGAAGAGACGATGAGAGAAAAACGAGAGAAAATAAGCGTCGAAGAAACGTGAGAACGTAAACCATATACTCAAGGACAAAATTCATTCTTATGGAGATTTTTTAATGTACATTTAATTGAATTTTTCAATTTTTTCTTTTTGTTTTGTTTTCATCTCTTCGTTGTTGATGCATTCATCATCATCATCATCATCATCATCATTATCATCATCTGCCGATAACAGATATATATATATATATTTGCTTCGGACAAAAATAATAAAATAAAATAAATAAATAAATAAAAAATAAATATACGAATTTCCCCCTCCCCCACCTCTACCCTCTCTGATCGAGCTTTAGACGCGTAGAAAAGAAAAGAAAAGAAAAAGAAAAAGTGTGCCACGATAAATATCTAGAAACCTCCTCCTCCTCTTCGTGAGCACGTGTTTAAAAAAAAAAAAAAAACAACCCACGTGTAGATGATGCAGCATGTGATATGTATACTTCGAAATGTGCACGATCGAATTTTAGAGATGAGGAAAAAAATAAATGTGGTGGTGGTGGTTTAGTATGAGGTCATCTCAAATGATTGATTTTAATTTTGAAGCCTTGCAATTGATATGGGAAGACAAGAAAACCATTTAAATTCAGGATCATACGTTCATATATAACATACATACATAAAACATTCACACACGCACATACCTTTACGAGATACCCGTAATATATATATATATATATAAGGTATTTATAATATAATTGCAAAAAAAAAAACTTATAATAATTATTATTATTAAAAAAATAAAAAAGACCTCGGAATTTGAATTCCATCCGCAAAGGAGAAGAACACACATGTATACATGTACACATACACACAGAACAAACGAACAGTCATAGAAAATAAAGTCTAAAACAACAACACACACTTGCGTATTATCTACAAAATACTTTTAATCGTAATATTAATTAATAATATACAGATTGTAAATAACTAAACAATAATAAAATATGCTGTAACAAGTTTTTTCTCTTCCGCATCTTTATCTCATATTATTTTCTTTTGTTTGTTTGTTTGTTTGTTTGTTTCTTTGTTTTCTTTTCTTTTCTCTCTTTTTTTTATCTCTGTCTTTTCTTCACATTTTCGCAAGAATCTCATCGATTTATTTGAACTCCTTTTCCGATCTCTCTATTAGTTTCTCGCAATATAATATAATAAATACGCAACATACTCGCGAAAATGATTGAAATTCGAATTGTTAACGAGACCAAAAGCGGGAAGAAGGCACAGGGTTGTTTTAAAGTTATATTATTTTTGGATGATGGTGATATTACTTTATCGTTGGAAAAAAATTCATCTTTCTCTCTCTCTCTCTCTCTCTCCCCCTTTCTTTCTTTCGTTCATTCAAATTCACAATATGGGCGCGAAATTATTCGTAAAGTAAAAAAGAAACATTTTGTCCATTTAATTGCTGCTCTTTCTTGCAGCGTGTTTTTTTTGTATTGCGTTGATTATTTTTAAAGATTATGTTTGGTTTATTTGGAAGCTCCCACACTTCTTTTCTTTTCTATTCTTTTAATTTTCTTTCTATTTCAAATTATAATCCACAGAGAATAAGAAAGGGGAACGAGTACCATATCAATTCCCGCGCGTAAAAAAAGAAGGATTATTTTCTTTCCAGTGTATACACAATTAATTAAATAATTTAATTGATTAGAAAAAAAAAGAAAAAAAAAGAAGTGTGGGGGGGGGGGAGGAAGGGACTGAGATGCGTAAAAATCGCACGCCATATTTTTTGTTTCCTTTCGTATTAATCTTTCTTATCATCGCGTATGAGCATCATCATTATTTTACGCAAAAAAAAAAACGTAAAGCCTTTTTTTTGAACGCATCGCTGAGAGAGGAGTACCTTTGTCTTTTTTTTTTTTTTATTATTTTCTCGCATTTTTTTCTTTTTTCTTTTTTTGTAAGAACACAAGCGGCGACAACGCGTTAATACTCGTACGCTTATCCTTTTTCATTTTTTTTTCCCATACTTTATACATATATATATATATATATATAATAATAATATATGTAATATGTACTAATTTTTTGTCGTCAGGTGCCACGTTTTTTCTTTTTTTTTTTTCTTCTATTTTCTAACGCAGGACACGGACGATAGAATCCTAAGCCTCTCTCTCTCTCTCTCTCTCTCTCTCTGTCTGTCTGTCTGTCTGTCTCTTTCTCTCTTTTTTTCTTTCTTTTATTCTATCTTCTTTTTTCGAAATTATGCATTATTAATATTATTATTATTATTATTATTATTATTAATATTACTATTATTATAATTATTATTAATATTTTCTTTTCTTTTTTTTTATTTTTATTTCAATTTCAAAAATTCGCGCGAACACACTCTTGTATATAATTATATTTTAAAACTTTCGTATGTCATAACTGTAAATATTACATCTACTGTACAACGAAGCTCGCTCTTTTCGTAGCGTTTTTTATTATTTTTTTTTTTTAAACTTACTATTTATTTATTTATTTAATTATTTTATCTTCCTTTTTTTTTTTTTCTTAGCACTTATCGTTGTGCTGATTTTGATAATTCATTTTCTCTTTCAATCTTTTGTTTTCCTTATTTATATATCGGTTGTTTTAATATTCTTTTAAAAAATTTCATTTACTTTCGCTTGTACAAAAAGAAAAAAAAAAAAGAAAGAAAAACTTTTAACGCGAATGTCCATATTAATACGTGTTAAAAAAAAATATGTATATATATATATATATATGTATAAAAAAAATAATAAGAAAAGGAAGAAGAACAAAATTAAGCAAAGAAACAAAACTTTGGCAGCTGTTTTTTCGATGATCCACGTTTACGAGCAAGTGCGATAAACTTGTCTTCTTATAAATTCTTCTTTTTTTTTCTTTTTTTTGTCTTTTTTTTTTCCTTTATTAATTCGATGTAGCAAGAATTTAAATATTTTTTACTTTCGAAAAAATATAAAAACTTTTTTTTTTTTTAAT